TCTGTCATCCTTACTCATTGTCCAATTCTCCGCAGCATAACAGGTAATTGAGAAGACCACGGCCTGGAGTAGACCAACCTTGGTATCTAGACTGACATCGTTGTTCTTCAGCACTCTGGAGATGTCTATGACAGCAGATATTCCCAGTGCAATTCATCTTTTGATTTCCTGACTACTGGTGTTAAGAGTGTTGTTTGTGGATCTGAGCAAGCTGTAATTGTTAACAGCCTCAGTCTCTTCTCCATCTATCATGGTGCTGCCAATTGGCCCAGTGATGAGAATTTTTGTCTTCTTGATGTTGAGCTTCAATCCATGTTGAAGATTACAGTCCGTAACCTTTGGCAGCAAGTGCTTCAGGTCTTTTTCAGTTTCAGCAAACAAGGCTGTGTCATCTGCATTTGTAGGTTGTTGATGAGTCTTCCTCCAATCTTGATGCCACACTTCTCCTCTTAAAGCCCTGCTTCCAGAATGATCTGTTCTGTATATAGACTGAAAAGATATGGAGACAGGATGCATCCATCCCTGATGCATTCCTTTTCTGATTTTGAACAATGCAGTGTTTCCTTGCTCTGTTCTGAGGGCTGCTTCTTGGTCCAAGTATAGTTTTCATATAGGCACGATCAAGTGTCCTGAGATTCCAATTTTATTCTAGGTTAACCACAATTTATTGTGATCCACACAGTCAAATTCCTTGCATAGTAAATGAAATATATAGTCTGGATTAGGTGAACTTTAGTCTCTAGACTGACATCATTGCTTTTTCAGTACACTGGAGAGATTCCTGACAGATTTTTCTAATGCAATTTGTCTTTTGATTTCCTGACTGCTGGTGCTAAGTGTGTTGACTGCAGAGCTGAGCAAGCTATAATTGTTAAGAACCTCAATTTTCATTTACAAAAAAAGTATAATCTAATATCATCATGCTGATGAAACTTACATATATTTATGTTCATATTTTTAAGTCATTAAAAGAAGAAATTATTCAGATATTTTAGTGTAATACTTTTTGTTGGAATTACCTTGAGAAGTATTAAGTAAATAAAAATTCTTAGTATGCATCTAGCTACATATTATCACTTACTCTGATTTGCATACCAGAGGATCAGAAAATGTGTTCATTGTACTTTTAACTTAAAATCTATTTTCAATTACTTGCAAAAATTGTGAATAAAGAAGAAAGAATAGTAAGCAGACCATATGTGCTTGCTGACAGAAATGAAGCTGGAGGTAGAATGATAGGATTTTGTACATCAATGTTTCCTTTATAAATACTTTTTAGGAAAAAAAAAACCACACACAGTGGTGACTCTACACAAGGACCTTATCTGATAGACTAGCCACACAGGCATTAGAATGTGAAAAACAAAACAAAACAAACAAAAAAACCCCAAACATTGATAAAGCTCTGCTGTGAAAACAAGGTCCACTGCTGACTATAGCAAGACAATCAACTACTCATGTGCTAGGTCAAATTGAAGCCAAAGAAAATGAAAACAAATCCATAAGCAGCAAAATGTGACCTTTAGTCTACCCCACCCGAACTTTAAAACTGTATCAAGAACAAGATTCTGGCATTGAACACTAATGGATGAAGACCAGATGAGCTGTGGAATGATATCAAGGCTATCATCCATGAATGAAAAAAACAAAAAGGTCATTACAAAGACCGAGGAAGGAAAAAAGACCAAAATGGATATCAGAAGGAGCTACAAATATTTTCAGTAGAATTCCTAAAAGCCAAAGCAAAGGGAAAGAAATGAGGAAGTTAATAACAACAGAACATTTCAGAGAGCAGATGATGAAGACAAAGCAAAGTACTATAATAAAATGTGCAAAGAGTTGAAGTCACATAACTAAAAAGGAAAAACTCACTCAACAGTTTTGAAGCTGAAGGAATTAAAGAACAGATTTAAGCCTTGAGTTATAATGTTTTTGTTGTTGTTGTTAAGTGTTGTCAAGTCATAGATGACTCCTAACAACCTTATGAACGAAAGACATGAAAACTTGTATAACTTTCATCGTTTCTCCCCTTTCATAGAGTTTCCAGAGGCAATCCTTTTCAGAGGTGGACGCCACTCCTGCTTCCAAGCTTGTTTTAATCAGGAAGCTCCACCAAACACTGTCCACAACGGTAACCATTTGACACATGGGTGTCACAGGGTTTAGCATCACAGCAACCACGAGTTACCTCTGTACAGCAAATGGACAGACTAGTTCTATACCACTTAGAACAATGTTTGACAAAAAACAATATCAAGACTGAGCGCCGCAGATTAAAATCACCTACCTTTGGCTTGGTAGCATAGCTTTTTGTCCACTAGGTTAACAGAGTTCTCTCTATATTGTTGTTAAGTGCCAACGAGTCATAGAGAATACGTCAAATGAGTTGTAATACTGAGTCATTTTACGGGCAAAATCTTGAACGATCCAGGAAACATCAAACTAAAATGAAAGCAATTCATGGATACAGTGTAGCAAAATTAACTAGATGGCATAACCACTTCAGAAAGGTGCATATGATGGGAATCAATGGTACTAAAGGAAGAAATTCAAGCTACTTGGAGGGAATTGATAAAAAAATAAGGCCCCATAAATTGATGAAATAACAACATATTTCAAAAACAGATAAAGCCTTGGACG